TATCTCTGGGAGAGTTCATATACAGCAAGGTACATATCTCTGGGAGAGTTCATATACAGCAAGGTACGTATCTCAGGGAGAGTTCATATACAGCAAGGTACATATCTCTGGGAGAGTTCATATACAGCAAGGGACGTATCTCTGGGAGAGTTCATTTACAGCAAGGTACGTATCTCTGGGAGAGTTCATTTACAGCAAGGTACGTATCTCTTGGAGAGTTCATATACAGCAAGGTCGTATCTCTGGGAGAGTTCATATACAGTAAGGTACATATCTCTGGGAGAGTTCATATACAGCAAGGTACATATCTCTGGGAGAGTTCATATACAGCAAGGTACGTATCTCTGGGAGAGTTCATATACAGCAAGGTACGTATCTCTAGGAGAGTTCATATACAGCGAGGTACGTATCTCTGGGAGAGTTCATATACAGCAAGGTATGTACAATGTATCTCTAGGAGAGTTAATAAACAGCAAGGTACGTATCTCTGGGAGCACTGTATAAGGATAGTTAGGTGATCATATGCAACAAGGAAGACAACTGGTATTACTGTAGGGACAGAATCCCAAACAGTAAGGTAGATAACTTAAGTAGTACAGTAGGGAAAGAAATTGAATATAAGGTAGAAGATACCATTACTGTGGAGAAGGGAATTCATACACTAAATTTCTTTACTGTTTTAAAGACAGGAACTCACACTGATAACTCGGGTAGCACTGTAGTGTAGGGGCGAAACTCATTCTGTGGGGACAGACACACAATTAACAAGGTAGATAAATCTGGAAGCTGTAGGGACAGGAATTCACTGGACAATACAGACAAATACAGTTGTACTGTGGGACAGTGGCGCTCACACAAATAACAAGGTAGATAACTCTGGTAGTACTGTAGGGACAGAAATTCACTGGACAATACAGACAAATGCAGTTGTATTGTGGGACAGTGGAGCTCACACAAATAACAAGGTAGATATCTCTGGTAGTACTGTAGGGACAAAAATTCACTGGACAATACGGACAAATACAGTTGTACTGTGGGACAGTGGAGCTCACACAAATAACAAGGTAGATAACTCTGTTAGTACTGTAGGGACAGGAATTTACTGGACAATACAGACAAATACAGTTGTATTGTGGGACAGTGGAGCTCACACAAATAACAAGGTAGATAACTCTGGTAGTACTGTAGGGACAGAAATTCACTGGACAATACAGACAAATACAGTTGTACTGTGGGACAGTGGAGCTCACACAAATAACAAGGTAGATAACTCTGGTAGTACTGTAGGGACAGAAATTCACTGGACAATACAGACAAATACAGTTGTACTGTGGGACAGTGGAGCTCACACAAATAACAAGGTAGATAACTCTGGTAGTACTGTAGGGACAGAAATTCACTGGACAATACAGACAAATACAGTTGTACTGTGGGACAGTGGAGCTCACACAAATAACAAGGTAGATAACTCTGGTAGTACTGTAGGGACAGAAATTCACTGGACAATACAGACAAATACAGTTGTACTGTGGGACAGTGGAGCTCACACAAATAACAAGGTAGATAACTCTGGTAGTACTGTAGGGACAGAAATTCACTGGACAATACAGACAAATACAGTTGTACTGTGGGACAGTGGAGCTCACACAAATAACAAGGTAGATAACTCTGGTAGTACTGTAGGGACAGAAATTCACTGGACAATACAGACAAATACAGTTGTACTGTGGGACAGTGGAGCTCACACAAATAACAAGGTAGATAACTCTGGTAGTACTGTAGGGACAGAAATTCACTGGACAATACAGACAAATACAGTTGTACTGTGGGACAGTGGAGCTCACACAAATAACAAGGTAGATAACTCTGGTAGTACTGTAGGGACAGAAATTCACTGGACAATACAGACAAATACAGTTGTACTGTGGGACAGTGGAGCTCACACAAATAACAAGGTAGATAACTCTGGTAGTACTGTAGGGACAGAAATTCACTGGACAATACAGACAAATACAGTTGTACTGTGGGACAGTGGAGCTCACACAAATAACAAGGTAGATAACTCTGGTAGTACTGTAGGGACAGAAATTCACTGGACAATACAGACAAATACAGTTGTACTGTGGGACAGTGGAGCTCACACAAATAACAAGGTAGATAACTCTGGTAGTACTGTAGGGACAGAAATTCACTGGACAATACAGACAAATACAGTTGTACTGTGGGACAGTGGAGCTCACACAAATAACAAGGTAGATAACTCTGGTAGTACTGTAGGGACAGAAATTCACTGGACAATACAGACAAATACAGTTGTACTGTGGGACAGTGGAGCTCACACAAATAACAAGGTAGATAACTATGGTAGTACTGTAGGGACAGAAATTCACTGGACAATACAGACAAATACAGTTGTATTGTGGGACAGTGGAGCTCACATGACAGGGTAGATAGATTTGGTAGTCATTTCAAACTTGATGAAAACAATAAACAACGAAAATCTAGCATACCTGCCAACCCCGGATATACTGAAAGAGGGTGATGACCCTCTTTTGAAAATTAAAAAAAGGGTCATAGCGCACGACGCCTTTTTTTCGCAATAAATATAAGAAAAGTAGATATTAAATTGGAACTTTAATATTGTAATAATGTGAAAGGTACATTCTACATTCATTGAACTGTTCTTCCAGCAGATCTAGCTGATCCTCATCCACAATACCTAATTTAAAGCTGTTATATACTGGATACTGTGTTTTCACAGGGATTTTTTAATGTCAATTAAAATGGTCCTGACAATAAGATGTCACATTCTACTCATATAAAATAACATTTTGTTTCTGTCAATTAAAATGGTCCTGACAATAGAAAGTCGCATCCTATTCATATAAAATATCAGTTTTATACGAGTAGGGTTTGAATTCTTATTGTCAGGATCATTTTTATCGACAGAAACTAATCATAAAATGCGTGTGCGTGTTTTTGAATGTCTTAGTAATGTCGTTTTTAGCACCAGATACAAGTGAAATATGCGATTTACAAAGAGTGCAGAATGCAGCGTTTGGTCCACGACCGCCGGACTTTATACACTATAACTCATTATTTCCAATTTAAATAGTTGAAAAAAAAAGATCTGTTGTATTGTGAAATTGTGATCACAATGAACATTGATTGTCTCCGTTGATCAGGTTCGTCTCTTGCCCAGGACAGAGGCAGGCTGGAGTCCAAGATAGAGACCCTCAAGTCAGAGCTGACCACGGTCAAGAAACAACTGGACGTAAGTAGAGGCAAGATGCTGACCACAAACTTAGAAATATTAAAAAACATCCTGACCATTGTCCAGTTTATACAAAATGTAGTTCTAGGGCACGCACATCTTAATCATTTACTATATGTAATAATTAAGCTTTTGAGCTAATAGCATTAATATTTGAAGTTCAACACTAGTGTCAACTGTCTAGATTCATAGATACATACCTGACAATGGCTTCAAAGGCAGTTTTTGGTGAGTTAAGTGGCATATAAAAGTGCTACAGGTGTCTGCTTTTGACAATCGGGGGTTTACAAGCCAAACTGGTGAAGCAGGTCAGGAACACCCCCCTGACTTTTTACACCATATATATCAAAGTCAACTAAAACCATACATTTTTCCAAAGTTAAATATCTTGAATTTCATTCAATAAAGAAATGTCATTATTTTCGCTTTTAAATTACTCAGAGGCACCGTGTTTCACCAGAACAAATTTTAGGTAGGGATTACAATTGTATGAAACACTTAATTGCTGATTGGCTGATTTAGTATACTTTCCTTTCAATAGCTTTTATCATTATGCATAAACATACATGATTCTATTAACTCATGTGCATTAAGGAAGATTTTGTTTCTTTATCTGTGCTTCTTACACAGAGGGAGACAGATGCTCTGAAGATTAAAACAAAAATGCTGGAGGATCAGACAGAAACTATCAGAAAGCTTAAAGAGGTAAGTCTTTTATGTAATTTATTTAATGATTCCACGAAAAAAAACCATACAAATAGGGAGATTGCAAAAAAAAATAAAAAATCGCTTTAGTACCGAACAATCACTAAAATTAGGAATAAAGGGAAAACCTGCGTGAAATGTTGTATGTTGATGCAGAAAACCAGGCAAAGTAAATAGTTTTACTGCGACATAGGACTGTTGGTACAAATATTAGACGGTATAAAATAACCCTTAATGAAGGTGGCGACACACAGGGAAAAGTATGTATAAAACCCTTAACTGGGACAAACTTACAGACACACAGGGAAAAGTATGTATAAAACCCTTAACTGGGACAAACTTACAGACACACAGGGAAAAGTA